AGTATATCCATCAAATCTATCATCTGTAAATGAAGGAGAAATAAGTTTTTCTAGAAAAGCAAGAAACTGACAGAATTTACCACCACCAGACCAGAGTCCTTCACTGGAAACAAGGACAGTAACTACTGTTCCGAAAATATACCACTGTACAAATTCATAGACAGAACAAATACATGAAAGAGAAAGAGAATAAAGCCTTGAAGAACAGGAGAGGCACCAAACTACAAAATAATTAATTGATGTGGGGAGAAATAAAGGATACACAAAACAGTAAGGCAACAATAAAATGGCTTGGGATGATAGCTCACACCTATAATCTCAGCACTTGGAAAGAAGAGTCCAGAGGATTCTGAATTGGCTGCCAACCTGGGCTATATGGCTAGATATATCTTATCAAACAAAAAGAAAACAACAAAATGATTAAAGGAAGCTTCAATTTATAGATAATAACTTTGACTATAAGAACATGTAAGTCACCAATCAAAAGACATAGATTTACTGAATGAACAACAACAACAAAAGGCAAGGCCCAGTTATACAACTATCTATTGGAAACCCACTTCACTGACAAAGACAAGCATGGGTTGAAAGTGTTGGAAAAACTTGAGCAATGCAAGGAAACATAAAGTGATGAGGGTTATAATATTATGATAAAGCAATTAGCAGTGTATGCATTAATTATAAATACATACCCAACACTAGACTACACAATGCATAAAGCAGACACTCATCGACTTAACAGTAGAGATTCAGTGCAATGCGAGTTAGTTGGAGACTTTAGGATCTGATTTTCATAGTAGGAAAATATTTCAAACAGAAAATCAGCAAGTAAGAATTAGAATTGAACCATACTATGGAATAAAGGGACCTAAACAAGTATTTAGAAAACATTTCAACCAAAAGCAGCAAAGTATACATTTTCTTCATTGGGACACAGAATCTTCTCCCAAATAGATACAAATAGGTTACAAATCACATACCAATAACCAAATAATAATAATAATAATAATAATCGTATCGTGTGTCTTCACAGAGCATGGGGAAATCAATGAAAAGTATGAAACAGAACAGGAGCCACATTGTTATTAAGGAGCCATATTATCATATCTTATTAAGTCTCCATATCTTACAAGAATAAGTTTGTTTCCTAAGCCTAATGTATCCTGCAAACCATGCTTTCAACCTATGCTGAACCTGAGACTCCATGATGTATACCTGCCCCTTTACCTTGCTAAACTCCTGAGCCGGAAATATATGATTGCCCTTCTCTCTTATGAAAACATGTCTTCCCAGCTACCTTGATGACCCTCCTTCCACATAATGTATTCTTGCACTTATTTTTATTGCCTCCTTTCTAACACTCAGTTATCTCCACAGCTGTTTTCTATCAACCCTTCCCTGTCCCCATAAAAGGGACCTCAAAAGCCTGTGGGGGCTGCTCTCTGAAATTCCAACGTAGGGTGAAGCAGCTGTCTGGCCAGTCCCCTGTGCACCTCTGCATAAAGCTTGCTTAATGAGAAAGCCATGGAAATGGTTTTTTCTCATGTCTAACATAGATCATATGTTAGGTTTCAAATCAAATATCAATAATATTTTAAAAAGGGAATCATATTATGTCTCTTCGCCAAGCACAATGAAATTAAACTAGAAGTTGAAGAAAGGAAGAGCAATAGGTATCACAATCTATGAGATACATCTTTATTAGTTATTTGTTTATAATAATCAAATACATGAAAAGTAAATAGAAAAATTTAAAATAGACAAGCTAACAATACAATTCAAAGACTCCAAATTACAAAATAAGATAAAGTTAGTAGGAAACAAACTTCAGAGCAAAAATAGATGAAATCATAAACCAAAAAAAGGCAAGTAAATGAGTTCATATTCTGAAAATATAAACAAATTAAGAATTATTTATTTACAGAAAAAGGGAAAAGAGCTAAACCAGTATAATCAGAACTATAAAAGGAGACAAACTAATACCACAAAACTATACAGAATATACTGTGAACAACTATATACAAATAACTGGGACAACTAAAAAAATGTTCCGCAAGGGATGACTCTATCTATCTATCTATCTATCTATCTATCTATCTATCTATCTATCTATCTATCTATCTATCTATCTACCTACCTACCTACCTACCTACCTACCTACCTACCTACCTACCTACCTATCTATCTATCTATCTATCTATCTATCTATCTATCTATCTATCTATCTATCAGTTGGTTTTTTGAGACAGGGTTTCTCTGTGTAGCCCTGGGTTTCCTGGAACTCACTCTGTAGACCAGGCTAGTCTTGAACTCACAGTTTCACCTGCCCCTGCCTCCTGAGTGCTACAATCCCAGGGAACTGGAATTACAGATGGTTGTTGGCCATGTGGGTTCTGGGAATCAAACCAGGGGCCTTCTGGAAGAGCAGCCAGTGTGCTTGACCCTTGAACCATCTCTCTACATTCTCCTGCAAATAAGACTTTAAACACACAAAAAATAATTTGTACCAACAATTGAAGAAATGTGAATTAAAATAGGTAATGCAGGCTGGAAAGATAGCTCAGCAGTTAAGACCACTGTCTGATCTTGCAGAGGACTGGGGTTTCGTTCCCATCACCAATTTGTGTGGCTTACAGCCTCCTGTAACTTCAGCTCCAGATGACATAATACCCTAACTGATTTCTGTAGGCACTCAGAGGCATTTGCACTGCTCACACACAGACACCTACAAATAAACATTAATAAAATGAAATGTGATAAGGGCATCTTTCTGTTTTGAGAATTCTAAACATTAAGTGATTTTGCTGACGAAGAGCACCAGATCACAGCAAGCAGTCTATATACACTAGCACTGTTGAGGGCTGCTTCGGAGGCAAATCCAATAAGGTCTGTCAATCCTTCAGTGTGCTCTTAGGTACTAAATCTGCTCTGCAGGTCTGTTGGTGGTAGCAATGCCCTGTGACTTTCTCTTCCCTTTTCCTCAGATTAGCAGAAAGCATCTTTATGATCACATTGCCATGGCATTGCTCAGTTGGACCTACAGAGATGTCTCCCTTGCCTTCTCGGTCGTCTTTGGAAAAGCAGCCATGCCTTGTCACCAGGAGCAGCATCAGTGATGCTGTGCTGGTTGCTGGCTGAATGTGTTGAGATTATCTACTCTATTTTCAGAAAAAGGTGTGCCATGAATTGGTTAAATAAGCCTCTTCTGTTAAACTTCCAACAATCTCCTCTTCCCTTAGCCCCTCTCTTTACGTTTTTTTGCATATGCATCTTTGCTTGTTGATTGCTGTTGAAATAATACTATTTATTTCTGTGTACAGGTGATACAGTTGAGTCAGACATATCATCTTGATGAAAAAGATCAGTTAGCAGCAACATTTAATGTTACTCAATATCCAAATATCATGAAATAGAAAATGTGGAAATTACTGTGTAGTGGACACCCTTTTCTTTTTCTGTCAGTTGGCAAACGACATGGAACTTTATGTCCCAGTTTTCATTAACCACTTTGCATTTTCCATACCTCTTCAAGAGGCAAAATAATTTTCCAAGATATCAGTATACTTCAATGTATGTAGCAGAGACAGTAGAGTAAAAGAAACAGACCTTTAACAATGTCTCCTGTATTATGAACATTTGGGAGGGATTTTGTTTGACACACAATGCTCCAGTCTGACTACAAAGGTAAGATTACTGATTAAATCAACCTTACATGATAACTTTTACATGCTACTTTATTGTCTAAGTGGAAACCCCAAAGAAATGTCATCAGCAACAAACTCCTGGAACAAAGTAGTGATTTTAAAAAGATGCATGGTTAACATAAAAAATGTATGTATACAAATATTGCAATAAATAAATGCAATTTGAAATGAAAACCAACATTATTTAGAATCCTGCTAAAGTATGGAATATTTCAGTTAAGTCTACCAATTATGAATGTGATCCGTATGGAGAAGAGTGCAAAACTCTGATGGAAAAAAAATCAAAGAAAGGCATGGGCAGGTGGTAAGACAACTCACAGTAGTATTTAAGAGACTCTGTCATAGGCCTTACCAAATAAGATAAGTAGATGATAATAAGGTATCTTATACATTATAAGGAAGAATTTGACTCACATTTCTAAGAGAAATAATCAAGTTTGAAAGACTGAAACATGAGCATGATTGCAACTACTTAACTTTCCAGGAAAAACTAGAAAGACAGCTGCCAAGGATTCTGGGAAGGGAGAGAAGGATGGGTTGATTGAACATGGGATGGGGGAGGTGAGAGCAGTGAACCATGGTGTGTGATACTGTGCTGGTATGGCATTATCTGTCTACCTAAACCCAAAGACCTGCATAAAACACAGAACAAAACCTGAAAACAGTATATTAATATTGGTTCATCTATTGTGACAAATCCACTATACAATAATAGTGGAAACTGCAACAGTGTGGGGAGCACATGAAAGTTTTCTACTTTTTGCTCAAATGTTCCATAATAAAAATCTTGAAGATATAAAATCCATTACTTAAGAAAATAATTTATTCACAGCAAGTGAACATTAGCTTAGAGAAAATTAAACTCTACATACAGTAAGATATATGCAACTGGACACCTTGAGATAAAATAGCTGTATATTACTTTTCATCACTATTTGCAGATGTTATATTATGTTACTTTCTGTCTCCTAAAGTGAAACAACTTCCACAATGAACAGGGTAAACAGGAGGCAAACAAAATCAGGCCGTAATGAGTTCTGCTTATCTGGTAGAAGATGAGAACAGGACCTAAATGGATAGCGTGAGACTTGGAAAGTTTAATTTCTAAAGGACAGATTAATGCCAACCATGATGGTGCATAGTTCCTAGTTCATTATATTTTATTCCATACTTACCTCCTTTCTTGTCAAGAATTACAGTGGGTATCTAATTATAGAACTGAGTACCAAAAGTATAATCACATTTCCAAGTAAGTGAAAAATGTAAAGAAAACAAAACAAAACAAAAAACACGTACCAATTCATCGATGCTGATCATCAGCACACTCTCATATGCTTTACCTTCTTTATCTTTAATGTGGCAGTCAGATGATGTGACAGGCAACAGAACAAGGATCAGGGGAGGAATTCCAAAGATATATCTAAAAGAAACTGAATCCAACATTCAATAAGCCCAAGGTAGATATCACAGCATGCTACACTAGGTTGTGTCTGTCTTAGAGTAGGAATTAACACCTACATCTAATAATTTTAAAAATACATCTTAATTCTGGCGTAGTATAGAAAGAACTATAAAAATTAAACTGTATGACAAGGTAGGGCTGCAGTGTGATTTAGGATTAGGTTTGTGGGAGGTATATAGGTTGTATCTACATTTTATGCAAAACAGCTAGAACAGAATCGAAGACTTCTGAAAGATATCCGGTAGGGGGTGGGGGTGAGAGTTTTACCAGGTGAATTTTTACTGAACATTCCCAAAAGAAAATATATTTACAAGAAAAGAGGTATGCTACAGTTTCTAAAAGTCACACATTATTTAAAACATGTGAAAGATGTGATGTGAATGTTTATTTAGACAGACACCATAGTCCTCATGAAGGCAAATCCAGTCCTTTTCTGGAGGCAGTGTCCGGGGGAGCAACTCTTTGGTGTTGTACTATGGTGATTTTTGGTTTGTCATGATGTTTAGAGAGCTTTGCCTTCCCCAAACTCTGATAATGTTAAATTCTGTTGGAAGACTCATCTCTGTATTTTATTATTTTGTGTATCTATTTTACCAAAGATCTAGATTCTGTTCAAGCAGAGCTCTTTTTTTAATTCCTTTCATGTTAGGAAAAGCTCAACTCAAGTGATTACTTTTGGTAAGTCTTGCCAATCAGAGTCAACTGTCCAATCAAAAGGAATGAAATTTTAAATGAAATCACCCGGGGTAAGTCATTAAGATGAAAACCAAAATAATACCTAGAAACATTAAAACCAACCCATTTGTTCATGAGTCTACACGTGTCTTGCTTTTATCTTTCCATGATCTTGATTATATTAATAATACAATTTGCATTTCACAAATTAACATTATAATATTCCACTGCTCACCATTTTATGTGTGTGTTCTCTTAGAGTCTAAACAATGTTTCTTTAAACCAAAGAAATTGACACTAGCAACAATCTAAAGACTGTAAAGGATATCATATGGATGTCATCTATTATATTTTTATCCAATGATATTAATATTGGCAGAAATATTCACCATAAATTATAATACAAGTAATCCATGTTTTTATAAATAAAGTGGACTTGGTAGAAGTTATAGGATCTCAGAGCCTCATCCATAGACAAAGAACAACAAGCAACTAAGGCATGCTAAGCACAGTGAAAAGCCCTCCCTACCAAATTGGTTATCCATTACCAAGTCATTAGTCCTGAAAAAAAAATATATATATCATTATGCAGAACAAGCAGGTTATATTTATATATTTATGAATATCTCTCTTCTCCATCTCTCTCCCCTCCTCTTCCCCCCATTTGCATGTATGTGTATGAAATAACAAAGAAAAGAAGACCATCAATTTGAAGGACAGTAATGGGGAAAATAGAAGTTGGAGGGTAGAAAGGGAAGAAGGGAAATGATACAATAATATTTTAATGTCAAAACCTCATATAATGTGAAGATTTGTCACTGTGATTGTTTTAATAAAGAAGATGACTGGTCAATAGATGAACAGGATAAAGTTAGGCAGGAGAGCCAAACTGAGAATGATGGGAGGAGGAAAGAGCGTCAGAGGATCATCAGCCAGATGCAGAATAAGTAAGACACACAAAATGGGATAGAGGTAAAAGTCACAAGCCTCAGGACAGCACATAGATTAACAGAAGTGGGTTAAGTTGTAAGAGCTAGTTAGTAACAAGCCTGAGCTATTGGCCAAGCATTTACAATTAATATTAAGCCTCAGTGTATTTATTTGAGAGCTGTTGGCAGGACAGAAACTTCCACCAATACCATAATTCATAGCTTCCCATCTTTATATAAAACTAATACTTGATACACTCAGAAAATAATCCAGGAGTGGGCATAAAATTTATTCAAAACCCTCCACTAAACAATAAATAATTCATTTCAGATCAAAGATTATGATCCTAGCTGCTTTTAATTGCACTACTGAGTCAGGGACTGTTAGGTAAATCTATCTATCTATCTATCTATCTATCTATCTATCTATCTATCTATCTATCATCTACCATCTTATGTATCTGTCTCTGAAGGTTATTTATATATGTATAGATATAAGTATGTGCTCCATATTTATATATATATATATATATATATATATATATATATATATATATAAAGAAAGAGAGAACTTCAAGTTAGCCTACAGTTTGTAGCACCCAAACAACAATTACTAAGATTAGATGTTAACCTGAGTCTTCTATCTCACTGGGATTTGATTTTAATATGCCCACAGTCATTTGATAACATATTTCACACTGGTATTTGGATTGAAAGCCACTTCCTTACAATATCATTTATCTGGCCCTCTCCTACTACCATTCTTTCACCCAGGGTACATACTCATCAATTATTAATACGTTTCATCATAGCTACATAAATTTTTATAGCAACATGCTTTTGATTTCATCTTTGGCCTTACAGGTCTCCCAAACTGAAGCTTTGGGAGGAGTAGACAGAGGAAAGAAATGGGGGATGTGACATGAATTCAAAGAAGAATGTGATGAAGTCATCAGTGAAGAAATTAATTTGCATCTCTATATAAATGTCATTACAAATGTCCATTTTTGTGTTTTAATAAGTTATTTTATTTGATAAGATTAAAGTTTTCCTCTTCATTTCAATAATATGTGCCTCCCAGATTCATATAACTTACAATTCACTGGACAGCATTTTGTCAATGGTTTACAATATTAGTTTGGTGGAATATTCTTTGCATATGTGTACTATGTAAAAATTTCAATTCTGAAACTATTCTTAAAATATAATTATTTTTCTGTAGACCCTTGAAATTAAGCAAGGTAGCTACTGACAGACCAGGGTAATACAACACAGGGAGAGTTTAGAATATAGAGAATTTGGGATCTTGTCTTGATCTGACAGTGGGCTATGTGACTCACAACAGCTGAAATTCATTTAAACTTCTTGTACCTTATCTCTAAAATTAAAACTTTCAATGACTTCTTAATGTAGCTCTTTTCTCTCTCATCTCTCAAACACTTTGACTTTTAAGATTCTATTTCATTATCCAAATAGAGAAAGCCTTCGTATTTAAATTGCCTCAAGCATAATTCCATAAACACACCAGGGTCCAAGATATCTCATAGGTTTTTGGCTCTACCATCAATAGTGTGTTCTTTTTTCTGTAATTACAGTGTGTATTCCACATACATGCACAGTAACAAATGAAGATTTTTCTGACTTGAGGGTGTTTCTAACGCTGTTGTTTCAATGGGAAAGGAATTTAATATTTGCCATATTTTGCTTCTTTTTGTTTCATAGCACACTCCTGAGCCTCCCCTGAACTTTTCATTAGGTCACAGATAAGAAAACTGTAGGAACAATACAAGACATGTGTTGGCTTGTAGGATTGTCTTTAAATCTCCCAAAGGGTTTGAAACTGGAGAATTTGTTTTCAGTAGGGAATTTGGTTAAACCAGAATGATAGCTGTCGAAAAATTCTTGTTGGTTTTTAATGTCAGCCAAATAATACATTCAATCTTCAGCTGCTTAAGTTATGAGGTCAAAGTGAAAATAAATAAGTTGACTTCTTCAGTCCATCATATCCAGTCATTTATTAGTTTCTTTAAGTTTTTGAGATTACAAAATAGTTTTATTTCTCCCATCCATTTCATCTCCCAAACCCTCCTATATACCTTTCCTTAGTCTATTGCAAATTTACAGCCTCTTTTCTCATTGTTGGTATATATGTTTGTGTGTGTATACATTACACACACACACACACACACACACACATATATATATATATATATATTCCTAAATTCATAAACACAACCTGCTCAGTCTGTATAATCTTAGTTATATGCATGTTGCCCAAGTTGACCATTTGGATAACCAACTGGAGTGCTCTTCCCTGGGAAAAACTATTTCTCCCACACTCAGCATTTCTTAGTTGCCTGTAATCCTTTGTCTAAGGTTGAGGCCTTAGGGGCTTTTCCCATCCACATTAGGAAGTGTTCATTGAATGTCCTTTCATAAATCTCTTTCAACAGAGAATTCAATTCCATAGCCACTTCATGATGTTAATGCATACAAGTAAGTCATTCACATTTTACAGTGGAGAATCTGGAGCTCAAGGAACAATTCTCCAAAACAGTGTTTCTAGGAGAAGCCAGGACTCACATCTGACATGCTCAAGTTGACTTGTCCAGGAGTTCAGCTTTTAGCTACTCAACTACACTTCCTATAATGGTAACTGCATGTATAGATAGTCAAAAGAAGTAAAAAAAAAAAAAATCATTGTCTTCTGCATGAACTTCCCTAAGGCACTTTCTGGCCAACCTCTGAAACTACAACATCTGCTCCTATTTCAAGGGAAAGAGTAAATTTTTGAATATATTATAAAGTTATTTGTCAAGAGTCAGGATAAAAACACTTCATAACCATGGGCCATGCAATTTGATTTTATGAAAGCACTTTCCATTTTTTGATTAAGATGTACACACACTGATAGGATTTCTAATTCTCCTTTAGAGCTCTTCCGGTTTCCTACTCATTCTTAATTCTCCGTGTTTCTCATTAGTTCACTTTATTGGCATGCATGTATAAAAACATTCTTAAATGGGGCAGCACAACGGAAGGTCAGCTAGGGAATCTTCACTTACTGCCCCAAATAATGGGGTGGAAACAAGAATAGCACAGTACACAGTCTTGATGGAGCTTAAGCTTCTAGTGAATGTATTTTGGAACAAAAATGAAGAAAGCCACTCATTTTAACTCCAGAGTTTAACATTTTCATGCTGTGTTTACTAACACCTTATGATGCATAACTAACATGGACAAGAAATTAAGCCTCTTTAAATTACACACCTTTGCATTCTTTTGTCCTTTGGTGTCCCCAGACCATAGATAAATCAAGGATTAAAGTCAGGAATGAAGCAGAAAGAAGCAAGTTCAGAAGCAGGGGCATTGCAAAGGAGACAGGGATGTACTCTTTCTCCTTATAATTAAACCTCCTTACAGAGAGGACTTCCATGTTTCTTTGGATAGTCTCTCATATCTCCACGTCTTTTATTTGGTTTCTGACAAGTACTCCATTATGCCAGTTCTTGGTTCTCTGGTGCATAAGAGATAGAAAATGATTGGACCTAAAGGAGTGGCCAGGAAAGCAGTAACAGAGAGGTTCCCAAGGAAGAGCATCCGGAAGGCTCCCTGCTCCTGCACCCCGCAGGTTCTCTTGCTGGAGGAAGTGTTTACTGTGTATTTCCTCAAGTAGATCCTCTCTCCTCACACTCCATTCTGTTCTCCTCTAAGCTCTTACAGCATTTGTTTATTTATTTATTTTAGTTCTAGCTGCAAGTGAATTCCAGCCACTGTCAATTCTGTTCTTGCCCATTTTTAAGACCGTATTTCAAGCAAAAACAAACCTATTGGATTTGATTGGGGGGGGGGGGAGAGCTAAGAATTTGTAGTCATGGGTACTTGTAGTTCTATCTCCCTTTTGTAGCAAATATGTAGAAGAGGGGGAGAAAGTCTGGCATTTTGCAATTCCAGCCCCAGGACTTGGGTTCCCAGCAAACAATGCAACATACAGCCTGGGTCGGAAACTCCCAGAATTACTGAGGGGATAAGAGGGGGTTTTCCAGTGATCTGTCCTTTAGGGTTTAAAAGCGCATTCCCGGGAGCGACTCTCATTCTCTATGAAGTTGTGAGCTCCGAGAGCCCAGCGACTCCCTGAACCCAGGCAGCCTGTGAGTAACTTTGCGCGGCCAGGAAGCGGGGAAGGGCTGCTTGGGCATGTTGCTGGCTAGGGACAGAGTGTGGCTGATAGCCCCTGACAACTGAGACCTGGCTGCAGGCGGCCACCGCGGCGGGACTCCTGCACTGAGGCTCTGGGTCTGGGGATCGAAAGCCAGCGTCGCGAACGGCTCCTCCCCGCCTGCCCGGGGTTGCAAGCCCAGGTGCCAATGGCTCTGGGCCACCGAGCTCAGCGCGGGTAGTGGCTGACCATGGGAGAGGCCATGCTCCCGGCCGGTCCAAAGTGCAAGGCCGGGCTATTCCCGGACGTGCGGGGGCGGGTGGCGCGTCCCGGAGTGTCCCAGAGTCCCCGACGCGATAGGCGCTGTTACTTGCGCGCACGGAGAGCAGCGCTTACCATGGAACATGGTCTGCGGGAGGTGGATGTAGTCATGATGATTGGGACTGCAGCAGGAGCGAGCTCTCACCACCCATAATGACGCCCGGGACCCCGGTCATCCGCCGAGTGGCCGCACGCCGGTGCTGGGCAGGGCAGTCCCGGCAGCTGGCTCCTCTCATCCACGCGGCGCCTAGTCCATCCATCCCAGGAGGGGCCGCATGCATCACTGGCTGGCCAGGCGCTCTGGCTTTGCCATAACTTCCGTAGACTCTGCCGGCAGAGTAGGCAGGGTACTTTCAGTTTCTGCTTTGCGCTGGGTCTTCAGGTTCAATGTTTGGGTTTATACTCTTAGCGTCTTCCCCATGCACCTGGACTGGGATCTGTGGTCGCTGCAAATTTCGAAAGTACCTCAGCAGAAGCCAGCTGGCCTTCTGGATCAGAGAGATTCGGCTAAAAAGCTTTCCAAATGACTTGTAACCGCTTTGGCAACTCTGGGAGACTGGGAGCTAAAAGCCACCAGTTAATAATATGTCCACAGAAGCCACAGTTGTGCAGCAGTGTGAAGGCTCTATTGCAAGTCAGTTCCACTGAGGAGGCGTCGCTGCTTCTGCCGCCCGATGTGGCGGACGTTGCCAAGTCATCTTTAAAAAAAAAAAAGGAAGTGAAGAATGATTAAGAGGGTCACGCCCTCTGCCCCTCCAAGCTCTCTAACTTTCTTTCCTTTCTATCTTCTGTGCAATGCACCTGCTCAGGTGGGACTTTAAGAAAAAATTATTCTTGTGAGCCCACCTAGTCTAGTAGCTTCAGAAAACTAAAACTCATTAGTCAGGGGACAAGAAATTGCTCATAGTAATTGCTAACTAAATCCCACGGGTGCGTTTACCTGACATGATTAATAAACAATCTTGATTGCTTCATTGAAAAAAAAAATTTTTAGTAGGCCTGAATTACCAAGGTGATTGCTGATTTAGTGCTGGTTCTCATAATCAGGTGAGAGTGAGCAGTGCCAATAACGAGAGAGATCGTGTTAGTGGTTACCAGTTATGTAGCATCTGCTTTATACCAGTACTGTGGTGAGCATTTTACATGTATTGTGGCATCCGAAGCTCTCTGTGAGGCATACCATTTTCTTATCTGCAGTTCAGAGACAGATGTGGGAACAGAGGCTTCCTTGACTAACAGAGCTAAATTCACATAGTTGGCCTAATTAGGACAAAACCCTCCAGCAGTCTGGCCTTAAAGTCTCTGCTTAGCATCCCCGTGTAAGAAAAGCCTCTGAATCCTGCAGTGTAGACCTGGAGACTAGAAGGAAGGTGACTGGGATGGTGGGTGTGCCCCTAACCATCTGGGGAGTTTCAGAAGGGTTTCTGGAGTTTGCGGTTCCTAAGCTGACATCTGAACAGAATCAGACTTGGGGACGGTATGGATCTTCAGGGTCTGTTGTGGTGCAACAGTGAAAAGAAGCAGAAGGGAAGGAGCGAGAAAAGGAGTGTTAACAACGAAAAGAAGCGGGGAGGGGGAGAGGCAGGGGCAGGGGCGGCTGTGTGTTAGAGTGTGAAACAAAGAGGTTCAAACTGGGCACTTGGCTACAGATTCTGCTGTTCCTCTGACTTTTCACATTCAGTCTACAAACCCGTCGGTGCTCTTCCGAATTGAGCGTTGCCAGGTGACTACAGAGGCTGATTAAAGAGATTTCCATTATTTCTCTGGCCTACAACAACTCTTTCATCCTTATCAAAACATCTGGGTATTTGACTGCACTTGTTTTTTTTTAAATAACCTAATATTTTATTGATTATTTGGAAATTTCACATAATGCACTCCTTGTCACTGCTCCCTGCTTCCGTGTTCCTGCACGAGCTGGGCCCTTGTTGTTCTCCTGGGACCTGACTCATCTTCACCACAGCGCTGGCCTTTCCTCCCTATTCCCAGACAGCTGCCATCCACTGAGAACTTTTACCTAGTATGTGATTAGGATCCAATATTGCTGTGTGACAGGTTGGGAGAAAACTATGATGGTGAGAAAGTGCTTCAGGGAAGGAATGTGAAAGAATGTCCACAAAAGCAGGAAGAAAAATCAAGGAAAGAGAAAGAAAAACGGGAGGGGGGCAAATGAAATCAGGAAACCAAACAGTGGGGAAAATTGTGTACTTCCAAAAATGTCCCTGAAACTTAGATGTGGAGATAGGAAGTAGAAAGAGATGGGCTGCTGTGACTGTTAAAGATTAATTCTATAAACATGCCTGGGTCTGTGATAAAAATATGGAACTCCCTGGACTTGAAGATGAAGTAGTAATTAGCTGCTCGTGTTCTGTGCTTTCTTTTCCCCCTTCTGTTTTTGGGCTTTTCATGGGGGTGTTGGGTCAAAGAACGTCTATCAGCAATGCGCAAAAGGGGAAATCCGTTTTCCTTCCTGGTTCAAACACCATAAAGGCTGACAGAACGAGGCTGTGCATAGGCAAAATCTGAGGAAAATGAGGGGAAAGTATCTAGAGTTACAGGAAAGAAGAAGTGCATTTCTTATAGGACCGTATCTATCCCCAAGTCTTAAGACTGTCTTCTGAAGAAAACATTTAGGAAGCATTTGGAATTTTAAAGGTTATTTGAAAATGAACACCTTTGAACTACATCATGTTATGAGAGGATTCTGAGAAAAGCAGTGTCATTTTGAAAGAATCAAAACAGCTTTTTAAATTAGTTATTTGCTTTCTAATATAGATTGAACATACAGATTGACAAGGATAAATGTTTTATAAAGTTTTATAGTGTTGATGATTAAATAAATGAAGTAGTAACCCAGGCCTGGTGGTGTAGACCTGTAAACCTAGCTACTCAAGAGTCAGAGGCAGGAGATTTAAAATGTCAGTTCTTGCTTTGTCAGATTAGTGAGACCATGTCATTAAACATAACAGAGTAAGAAGAGGACTGGGGATATAGCTCAAATGTTGAGAGTTTGCTTAATTTGCATGACCCCCTAGTTCCATCCCAAATATCACAAAGAAGGAGAAGAAGGAGGAGGACGAGGAGAAGAGGAAGAAGACGAAGATGAAGATGAAGATGAAGAAGAAGAAGAAGAAGAAGAAGAAGAAGAAGAAGAAGAAGAAGAAGAAGAAGAAGAAGAAGAAGAAGAAGAAAAGAAGTTTATGGCAAAGTTACAAAAATGGTTAATACTGTGTAATAGGAAATACTAAAATAAGTGATAGGATGATGCTGACTTAAGAAAGAAAATTATTAGGGTTAACCAATGTCTTTCTAACTCTCTACACTTTACAATTATTAAACAAAGCAGTCAATTATTAATCTCTCTGTTGTCCATGCCTGCCTTGAAATGGCACTCTTTATTTAAGCCTCCTGACTATTGAGAGGTTCTATGCGTATACCAACATCCATGATGAAAAATTACTTTCTTGACTAATTATCTATACTCATTTTACCTGACTAAATAGGACATCTATCTATCTATCTATCTATCTATCTATCTATCTATCTATCTATCTATCTATGCACTCTGAGATCTAAAGTCTGTTGTATTGTGAATTGACATTTGCTGAAGTCTCTATGATTTAATATTCAAGGCAAAAGTATTGAAATAATATTTCAAACACACACACATTATAGATGTGTGAGCAGCACAACAGTACGAGACCTATGGTTTGAGAGATCCATTCTTGGTCTACTGTTATGGCCATGAATATTTTAAATTATAGACAAGGAGACTCTTCACTTTTCCTTGGGCTTCATGAATTCAGTAGCTGAGCTGACTATGCTATTATGAATAGCAATGCATGCTTTTTTTTTTTTTTTTTTTTTTTTTTTTTTTCAGGGTTTCTCTGCGTAGCTTTGCGCCTTTCCTGGA